TTATGGAAATCACCTCTTCTATCCAAGTATTATCATGAGTATGAGATCCAGCATTGACTGTATTTTGGATCTATTCATCTGTGGGTGCTGATCTTGCCTTTAAAGGCCTGATTGCCCTCTTGAATTCTGAGTTAGAATTTTCTTTTTTTTTAATGTTTTATAAAATCTTTATTGACAAGTAATCCACATAGTATACAATTTGCCTGTTTGCACAATTTGATAGACTTTAGTCCAGCATCCTCATAGGCCCATGACACCATCACCACTTTCTATTTTAGAACATTGTTGTCTTCAATTTCATACACATATATAACATATGGTGATTACATTCCACCTTATTTTATTTATTTATTTATTTATTTTTGGTTTTTCGAGACAGGGTGTTTCTCTATGTAGCTTTGCGCCTTTCCTGGAACTCACTTGGTAGTTCAGGCTGGCCTCGTACTCACAGAGATCAGTCTGGCTCTGCTTCCCAAGTGCTGGGATTAAAGGCGTGCGCCACCACCACCGCCCAGCTCCACCTTATTTTTTTAAATGAACATAATATTTGCAATTGTAACCATTTGTAAATTCACAATTCAGTGGCATGAATTACATTCAAGATATTATTTACACTCATGATATTCATTAATTACACTCATGATATTAATTACACTTGTGGTATTCATTAATTACACTTGCAGTCTGAATTAGCAGTTTCAAAAGCCAAAGATTCAATTAATATTTGTCTAACTTCTGAATCTGATATCATTCTATTTACAGCTGAAATCAGTCTTTACAAAAATTCAGTGAAGGCTTCTTTTGGGCCTTGTATAATTTTAGTAAATGACTCAGTCTTCTTTCCTGATTCTTCAACCCTGTTCCAAGCATTCAAAGCTGCTGTACAGCAAAGAGCCAATGTGTGATCATCAGATGGAGTCTGTCTTTGAAAATCAGCATACTGACCATCATTAAGAAGCTGGTCTTGGGAAATTTCAATACCTCTAGCCCTACTTCTATGACCCTAGGTTCCTCTTTCCACCATGTTTTCCATTGTAACTGAGGACCAGCTTCCCATATTGCTATAACTAAGTATTTCCAGTCTTGTGGAATAATTGAGTGGCTCTTGAATTTAACATCTCCTTCACAAAAAGTGGATGCATACTATATGAAACTATTGCTTCCTTAAATCTCAAATCCAACATTTTGACAGGATTCCAGTTAGTTTCTTCATAGCCTTTGGGATACTTGTCATCTAGTGTTCATTTTTGTGTGGTAACTGGATAAATTAAGGTTGGTTCTAATAATGTTGGGCTGCTCTCATTTTTATCATGCACTGGTGAGGTAGGTTCTGCTTTAAATTCCTCTGTGTGAATATTTTTCTCCTTTTCATTAGTAGGTCTTTCTAAGGCTTTTATCTTATCAATAGTTAAGTCTTTCTAAGGCTTGTATCAGTCAAATTACCATATTTGTTACAGTTACCAAACCACTTTTTTTAAAAAAAAGATTTATTTATTTATGTGTGTGAGTGTTCTGTCTTCCTGTACATCTTCATGACAGAAGAGGGCATCAGATCCCATTGTATATGGTTCTGAACCACCATGTGGGTGCTGGGAATTGAACTCAGGACCTCTGGAAGAGCAACCAGTGCTCTTAACCTCTGAGCTATCTCTCCAGCCCCCAAACCACTTTTTAAAAAATAAAACATGAATTAGCAAACTGATAATAATTATGATTGACTTTATGTCAATCCCAGCTAAATTGTTTATCCCCTCATTTATTGTTTCCATTGGCAAGCCATCCAGACATGGTCCTAACTCCCTGCATTGTGATATTTCTGATTCTTTTTTTTCCCCCCCAGAGCTGAGGACCAAACCCAGGGCCTTGCTCTTGCTAGGCAAGCGCTCTACCACTGAGCTAAATCCCCAACCCCGATATTTCTGATTCTTACCATGAAAAGATTTTCCTGTTTTTTTTTTTTTTTTTTTTTTTTTTTTTTGTGTGTGTGTGAACCTAATTTCCCATTTAAAATTTCCCAAGTATCTTTCGAGCTTTGCTGATGCTGACAGCATAGGTGGATATGTGCACAGTCAGTAGCTGCAGTGACAATGTTTGACTGTGCCCGCACAGAGGCAGGCACAACAGAGGCCACTGTGGCTGCTCCTGTGCTGTGTGGGTGGCAGTGTGGGTGTGAGCTGTCTGAAGAGCTAATGTAAGAAAACCAGTAGGAGGAATCCATGCGGTTGGGACGCAGCAGTGTGGGACAGAACTGCCCAGCCTGTTACTGGCAGCTAGCTGTCACTGCTCAGCACAGCTGGGCAGAGGACACCAGTGGACACCAGTGGACACCAGTGGACACCAGTGGACACCAGTGGACACCAGTGGTGCAAGGCTAGTCCCCCTGGCAGCTTGCGGCCATGGCAGCAGCAGTAAAAGCACTTGCCCTGAGTGGGGGCCATGGCAGTGGCGGCGGTGGCAGTTGTGGGGGAGGTGGCAGTTGTGGGGGAGGTGCCCAGGCAGCCAGACTATTTCTCCGCAGCCCTGATGTGTGTGCTGTCCGCACAGGACTGGCCTGGGAGAGGAGCAGTGGCTTTGCTCTGCTCCATCCGGGTACTTGTACCAGCTACACAGGGGAGGGCCAGGGAGAGGCCTAAGAAGTGGGTACAAGGGGAAATCGGGCAGGAGAAGCCTGCTTGGCTAGGATGTGGCATAGGAGGGCACCACACCGACAGGATTATAGTGCCAGCGATAAGTGGCTGACTCAGGTGGTTTCAGAGCTGATGGGTAGCTGTGCAGATCACAACAGGAAAATTCCTTGGTAGCACGTGGTCACAAGGTGAAGTAGCAGCTTTAAAAGCCACAGCATGATGTCACCACATGTTGGATGCCAGATTTCTTTTCTTTTTTCATTTTATTAAATAATAAAACTCAGGAGTAATATTAGAGAAAAAACCTGAGAGATCCATGGAAACACGAACACCTGCCTCTCCCCACTACCCATATTGAAGAGCCCAAACATCCTCTCAGAGCCTCCTTTTTCTCCTCTGTGTGTCCTTCTATCTCCCTCTGCATCCACCAGGGAACTCCATGATCCACTCTGGCCAGCTGAAAGCAGACTCTGCCCTTCAAACTGAGGTTGTACTCTATTGGTGGTCCCCAAGCAATGAATACAAACAAATGTCCCCCAGCACACAGCCCCACGTTAGGTACAAACCTGTAATTGCAACACTTAGGAAGTAGAAACAAGATGTTCAAGGCCAGCCTCAGCTACATAGTTAGAGGGTCTGTGTGTGAGTTTACAAACAGTGACCAGTGTGTACAAGGACTGGTAACTGCAGCTTCCTTGGATGTTTGCTGCCTCAGACTGCCTGCCCACAGAGACCTCCCACCCAACCAGCCAACCCATCCTTCTGTGCTGTGCCTGATACATAAGCTGTGCTCTCCAGAACCCTATCTCATCCCCGCTTTCTTGTACCTAAATCTGTGTGTCTATCTTTTCTTCATTCCTTCCCTGGCCCTAGTCAGGGTTCCAGAACCCAAGCTGAGTAGGATGTGATACATCTTCTGCCTCCCTGGTGCTGGAATTAAAGACATGTGACACCATGCCTGGCTACCCCTGCCCCCATGTGAAATGTCAGGCTATAACCCATTCTTAGTGCTTACTGGCTCTGAACACTGAGTGTAGGAATGGACACTTGCTTTTTGCCCCAATGTCACAGACACAGCCCAGCAGCTGTGACTGTGGTACTGACAGATCCAGGCCAGCATCTGGAAGGCAGCCTTTTTGAATTTTCAAAAACTGTTTATTGTGGTATGCATATATGATGTTGGAGGGGAGGTTACATATGCCACAGCACACTGTAGAGGTTAGAAAACTAGTTGTGGGGTTTCTTCTCCTTCTACCTTTATGTGGGTTCCAGTGATGAACTAAAGTCATCAGGCTTGTGTGACAAGTTCCTTTATCCACTGAGCCATCTCCCTAGGTCTTATCAGTGCTGCTCACCAAAGGAGCACTGGGGTCACAGATGCTGTGTGCTCCTGCAGTTGAGTTCACATGACTTCTGTAGATTTGAACTTAAGTCTTCACACTGTACCCACCGAGTCATCTCCCCAGCCTAGGAGGATTTATTGAATTATTCATTTATTTATATCACTATGGATCAAACCCAGGGTACCATTCATGCTTGGCAAACACTATACTACTGAGCAATATCCCCAACCCCAGTTTTCATTTTAAATACACTTGGAGGATTGGAGAGATGTAATCCCAGCCCCGCAGAGGCTGGGGTAATATTAACATTGGTTCAAGACCAGCCCAGGCAAGATCGTGTTTCAGGCCAATCTAGGCCACATAGCAAGTCCTTGTCTCAAAACAAAACTATTTTTAGTTTTGTGTATTATAGAGAGGCCAGAGGATCTCACAGCTTTCAGGAATTAATTCTCTACTTTCATGTGGGTTCTGAGGTTCATTTAGCTTTGCTCAGAGTGCCATTACCTACCCAATGAGCCATTTCAGAGGCCCTCAAAATAGCTTTAAAAGATAGTGTCTCCTCATTCTCCTCTTAGCTGTGTTTTGGAATGCTAGGTAGCTGAGCATGATCTTGAACTTTTTTTTCCCCTCAAGACAGGGTTTCTCTGTACAGTTTTGGTGCTTGTTCTGGATCTTACTCTGTAGACCAGGCTGGCCTCGAACTCAGAGAGATCCACCTGGCTCTGTCTTCTGAGTGCTGGCATTAAAGGCATGCACCACCATCAATCACCAGCTTTTTTTTTTTTTTTTTCAAACCAGGGTTTCTCTATGTATTTTTGGCTGTCCTGGAACTCACTCTGTAGATCAGACCTGCCTCTGCCTCCAAAATGGTGGAATTAAAGGCATTTGCCACCACTGTCTAGCCTCCTATACATTTTTATGGCTCTGTTGCACTATCAACAAATAATGCAATGTACTTGAAAAGAGGGAAGCTTACTTCAGGGTATAAGGTCTTGGTTTAAAACACACACACAACTCAACCTGGGTTGGAGATATGACTTAGCAGTTAAGGGCTCTAGTCCTTGCAGAGGACCTGTGTTTGACTTCCATGGCAGCTCACAATCATCTGTAACTCCAGTTCCAGGGGACACCTTCTTCTAACTTTCATAGGCACTAGGCACCCATGTGCACAGACATACACGGGATATCAAAACACTCAGACACATAGCCAGACTCTACTCCCTGTCGTTAGTTATTTTACCTCAGATTGCTTTTCCATTTTTTCCATGATTCCTTTTTCTTATCTGCAATGACATAGATGTGCTTGCCTTTAATCCCAGCACTTGGGAGGCAAAGGCAGGTATCTCTGAGCCTGGGCTACAGATTGAGTTCCAGG